AAACTGTCCACTTTCAATTCCAGCACTTATTAAACTAGAGATAATATGTTAATATTAATTTGCTTTAAGTAATAAAATATTCCCAGGATATTATTTTAAATTCACATGACATTTAGAAGTCACTAATATTTGCAGTATTCAAGAATGAAGTACACACGTGCTAAGAGAAATTTTAAATTTTATCTTTTGTCACCACCTGGTGGTAGAACATTTTCTCGCTTTTCTTTTTTCATTTTAAGCTTTGTGTTTTTGCTAAGGAAAATTTCCAAACCAAGGAAACCAGTTAACTTCGGTATAGATTGTCAAGTATTAATGTATACTAAACATACTGTCTGTACTTAACATCTATCGAATAAATGAATGAGTTTTTAGTCTGTTTTAGTGGATTGCAAAGGTACATAAGCTTTCATTTGAATTGCAGGAAGTTCTCAAATGTAATGAATAAAAGTGGTCCACAGAACTAGTTTGTCAGAGGCAATTTTCTTTCCTTAAAGTTTAATTGGATTTTGTTTATGGTAATAGAAATACACAATTAAAAGTAATTGGTTTAAAAAAGCATTTTATTATGCTCTTAAGAATTCATTTAACATTGTAATATTTTTTAAATGTTTTTCATAATTCCAAGAGGTAAGAGAATATTTAATTAGAATTTATTAAATATGATTGAGAAGATGTAAAACTTCTCAAATTCCTAAACTATTAAGAAATTTGCAAATTCCTAAACTATTAAGAAAAAAAATAAAATAAAAAAAAACAAAAAAAAAGACGAATTGCACATCATTTGTTGTAGACCATCGCCACCTTGTGTTTGGAAAAAGTGGTACTAAAGCCTGTGAATCTTTTAAGGTGGAAATTTTTTATTGCAGAAAAATTCCAATTTATAATTAAAACAAAACTTAACAACTGGCAACAACATCAGTGAAAAGTCTGACAACATAATTACCTCCTACACAGTTAGATAGGTTAAAATGTCAAAACATTTGATTAAAAGTTATCAGTCAGAGTCATTTCTAAGCCCCCAGTTTGACTCTGGCTGTGACATCCTGGGAAAACGCCTTAACCCTTTTGAGTCTCATTTCTGCATCAGTTACACAAAGGGAGTTGATTTGGCAGATCATACTCCTCTCAATTCTGCAAGTGCGTGATTTGGAAGGAATATCAACTCTGAGTCTAAACGCAAGCTATGATAATTTTTCTGTCTCCAATATTTGCAATACTTCTGGGTATATAACCTGTTTAAACTAGGAGTTTTCTAACCACTTTCTCATTTGTGATCAAATAAAATATCTATTTGTCCAATATTACTTTAGACCATATGTTCTCCAAAGTAGCACTAATCCCAAACAGCTTCCTTATTTCTAATTAGTAAATCTCACGGTACTAAAATGTGAATAAAAATCATTTGATGGTTACTTGTTTCTCTAGACAATGTTTACACTAAAACAATTCTAATAGCTCATGTGTATTACTAGATTTCCTCATTTCATGGCTACCTGTTGAATATTTACTTTGGTATAGATTTTGTGAAAATTGTGAATAGAATATTGTATCTGTAGCATATGAATCAGTGAAACAAATACAAATACATAAGGTGTAAATAGAAATGAGCACCTTAATGCTTATCTCTCACTTTAAAATGCAAACAAGAAAGTCTCTCTGTTCATAAAGGACAATAATGTGTTTAATAGGTCAAACTGTTAATTGTTCCAATAATTTTATGTCAAATACTTGGACTTTTGTTATCTCTATAAATAAAAATTGGCTTACATATGTAAATTAGAACATGTTAAGATTAACGTTTATATAAACCCATATGTATTCTATAAAAATTAAATCCAAAATATGGGGAGTAGGGATTAGGATAGCATGTGTTCTTTTGGGTAGACATTCAAATCAAGGAACAAAAATTGTATGAGTGGAGTATGAAATTTACTACAAGAACCCAACATTACATGTCACTTTTACTTATGCCATGTGCAAATTTACTCCTGTGGTCTTGTTTCTACATTCAAATGTTTTTCCAATTTACATTTTGCTTATAAATATATATATTTGTTATATGTATATATTTGCATATTACCACAAATGCCTGAAGAGTGCTGATGTTTAAAAAGAGAGAGAGAGAGAGAAAGTAACTGGATTAAATGTTCTGAGCATGGATGGAGTTTTTCAGCTTAATAGTTGGCAACTCCATCATCCATGTCTCTGTTGAAGCTATTAAAAAAGAATCATTTCCCAGAACTACAGGTGCACAACAGATTGGAGTCATTATGCAAAAGAACAGAAATCTGGACAGATACCCAGAGAATAAAAAAGCCATGTTCCCGGCCATCGTTTTGCCTTTAACTCACTGTTTTTGCAACTCTATTTGTATCTACAACATGAAATTTGAAAAAATTATAATGGATTTGAAGTAACCCATTTAAGATCAGAAAAGTATGCTTTAAACAAACATCCAATAAGATTACACTACAGGTAGAGACATACTAAGGGTCAAATTTGCATTAACATATTTTTAAAAGCTAAAGTTTATGTGAAGAAGTTGATAGACTGAAATATATTACATGATGTATCTTTTTAAATATACACATTTTCTCCTGTTTTCTGAATGTCCCTTCTTGTCCTAATTTAAGGGAATCACATCTACCTTCACTAATCTTCATTCAGCCCCTGGGTCACCTCTCCCTGAGATTTTGGGTGTCCAAAATCTCTATCTCAAATCTCCATCTCAAAGCCACTCTGAGGCTCTAACTGTTGTCACCACATATTATCTTCTGAGCCCTCTTCTAAGCAAGAGGTTTGAAAATTTACAGATGGCTTTGCCATCTTTCTTTTCTGATCCCGTGGTCAACAGCTTGGAAGTCTAACATGACTTTCCACTTATGTTCTCTCAAGTATCTTACCTCTCTTCTAGCTAGAAAGAACAAGTGAAATGAAATAAAATAGTAGAAAATGGGCTGTCAAATAATTACTGTAATGGAAGATAACAATGTAAAAAAAAAAAAAAAGTCTGAAAACCAAAGTGGGAAGTAGGAATGATCAGATGTTTGGGAAAAGATATTTAGGAAACACAAACAGGAAGGAGTAATCCTCTTAGTTCAAAGCCGAAGAGAAGGAGTTAGGCCGACAATCCTGGACAATGAAGAAAGGAATCGGCCATCGTGAGTGTGGATGTCAATGTTGAGTTTGAAGGAGAAATGGAACCGGGTGAGAGAGAGGGCTGCAAAGAAGAGACTCGGTGAAAAGAGGTAGGCAGAAACCACTATAAAAATGTTGACGGAGCGCTGTCAAAATAAATCTAAGTCCTTGGTTGATCATTCAGCGTTCAACGATGAGAGTGCTTGTAGGAAACCAAGATTACATTAACAAAATCACCCACTCCTAAATGTGTGGGGACTAGAGGTCGTTACTAAGCGCTTTCTGGAGTAAGCTTCTCTCTGCCATTCTTGCTCATTTGATTTTTCCTTAACAGTGGAAAGCAACGTTTTTGTTTTTGTTCTTCAAGTAAACAATCTCGCTAGGAGAAAGGAAATTGGAAAGCATCGGGAAAGAAACTCTTGAAAGAGGGACGTGGTAGGAGCACTAGAAGGGACGCTTCTGGCCAGGGCCCAGTGAAGTGGGAAGATCTGGGGAGGAGCGAGGAAAGGACCCAGATCAACTGGGAGCCAACTGAGAGACAGGACGGGGGTGGGGCGGAAAGGCGGAGACCAGGTCGGGCCCTAACGCGGGGGCGCGCGAGTGGGAGGGATGCGGGTCCACCAGGGTCTAGGGCTGTGGCTCTCGCCATTGTCCCCGAGGCTTTCCGCCTGTGAAACTGTCCTTCTTCTGGGTCCTTGAGCCCCTCCCACATTTTGGAGAGAAGAGGCGCTCAGTTTTTTTGTTTTTTTGTTTTCTTAAGGACCTGTCGGTGAAAAGGCTCAGCTCTCCTCTCGTAATGCGGATATAAGCTTTTCCCTTCCTGGTAGGAAGAGGAAGGAGGAGTCGGGGAAGGAAGACGATTTCCTTTTTTCCCCCACTGCACACTTGCTAGCCCCAGCGACCGCTGCTGGCCCCTGGGTAGGAAAGGGGGGTTCCTGGCCGTTTCCACAACGCTGGCCTAAGGCTTGCAGCTGCCGTAGAGTGGAAGCGAGCAGGCTGGCGGGAGCTGATCATTTCTCGAATGAAGACGAGAAAGCGCCAGTTCCCTCCTTAGGCTCTAGGGAATTGAGCCGCGTCCCAGATCACCCATTCCAGAAACATGAAAGCGAGTCCTCACTAAATCGTCTCTGGGGAAGGGGTTGGTGTGTGGGGTGGGGGCTGGTGGAGGGTGAAGGCGTATGCAAACATATTTTAAAATCCAGATCCTACGAAGTGTCACCTGGCCCCTCACCTAGCCATGCTTTCTAGGGGGAGCGCAGGGCCAACCAAGCTTTCCCGAGAAAAGTTGGGGTAAATGGAGAGCGAGCAGGCTGCGGCTAAGAAGCTCCTGGCAGGCTGGGGAGGTGGAGAAGTGGAGTGGGGCTACTTTTCTAGAAAGTGTGGCCCTAGCTCATCTCCTAGATTGGAGAAGCGGGAGCTGAAGGAAGAGGGAAGGGGACTCAGGGCAGCTCCAGGACAGGGAAGTGTTGGAGAAGGGACTCTTTTCTCCACCGGAACCCTCCTTCCTGGCAACTCTAGCCCAGCGCGGTAACTGAGTTACCGCTCCGGAGGGGCGGCGGGTTGGAAGGGTGGTCCAGGAAGCCGGGGAGGCACAAAAGCGGTGGAAGGCAGAGTCTCCCCGCAGCGGCCCCAGCGGTACAAAGTGTTGGTCACAGCGCCCCTTCCGCCTCCAGATTGAGGAGCAGTGGCGTGGAGCCAGCGCCGAGGCTGTCCCCTCCCCCGCCCGGGCCCGCAGCGCAGAGCCGGGTTCGGCAACCACCGAGCCTGGGGCGGCGTCTTTGGGATGGAAAAGGGCCAAGAAGGGGGAGGAGTGGGGGGTGGGAGGCGGTATTTGCTCACTGGGCTTTATAAAAGGACGGGCCTGGCTGCCCGGTTCTTGCACTCGCTGGAAAGCAGCTCCGGGCCAGGAGCTATTGCAAAGCGAGGGTGCGCTACCAGACCGAGAGGGGAGAGCCCTGCTCAGAGTGAGCAACACCGCAGCCAAGGCGGAGGCCGAAGAGGGGTGCCAGGCACCAATCCCCGCGTGGCCTCAGCCCCGGAGGCGCCTCCGAGAGCTTCTTGTCCCCGCAGAGCCACTCTGCCTGTGCCTGACTCTCAGTGACTCCAACTTTGCGCTGGAAGAAAAACTTCCCGCGCGCCGGCAGAACTGCAGCACCTCCTCTTAGTGACTCCGGGAGCTTCGGCTGTAGCCGGCTCTGCGCGTCCCTCCAGCGAATAATAGAAATTGTTAATTTTAGCAATCCAGAGCAGGCCAGCGAGCCTTTCCTCTCCCGACCCGAACCAAAAGCTCCCTCGCTCCGTGCGCTGCTGCAAACAGTGTCTCCTGGGGCTCCAATGCAGCGGGCTGTACCCGAGGGGTTCGGAAGGCGCAAGCTGGGCAGCGACATGGGGACGGCGGAGCGGGCGCGGGGGTCTCGGTGCCTCGGGCCCACGCCCACGCTGCTGCTGCTCGCCGCGGCGCTGCTGGCGGTGTCGGTGTCGGACGCACTCCGGCGCCCCGCCGAGGAGGACGAGGAGCTGGTGGTCCCGGAGCTGGAGCGCGCCCCGGGACACGGGACCACGCGCCTCCGCCTGCACGCCTTTGGCCAGCCGCTGGATCTGGAGCTCCGGCCTGACCGCAGCTTTTTGGCGCCCGGCTTCACGCTCCAGAACTTGGGGCGCCGACCCGGGTCCGAGACGCCACTTCCGGAAACCGACCTGGCGCACTGCTTCTACTCCGGCACCGTGAATGGTGATCCCAGCTCGGCTGCCGCCCTCAGCCTCTGCGAGGGCGTGCGCGGCGCCTTCTACCTGCGGGGCGAGGCGTATTTTATCCAGCCGCTGCCCGCCGCCAGCGAGCGCCTAGCCACCGCCACGCCGGGGGAGAAGCCATCGGCACCACTACAGTTCCATCTCCTGCGGCGGAATCGGCAGGGCGACAGCGGCGGCAAGTGCGGGGTCGTGGACGATGAGCCCGGGCCGACTGGGAAAACGGAGACGGAGGACCGGGAAGAAGGGATGGAGGGCGACGAGGAAGGGGCGCAGTGGCCGCCGCAGGACCCGGCACTGCAACGCGTAGGACAGCCCACAGGTAGAAGAATTGCTCTCGCTTGTCTGTCCATTCATCCTCCTCCCCTCACTTTCTCTATCCCACGCGACTTCAGGGTAGACTCCTGCTGGCAAGCGGGAGCATAAGCCCGCGGACAGCACGGAGACCTGGAGTGGAGGAATGTGGTTTGAGGTTTGGATTGGTGAACTCAGCTAGAAAACATGCTTCCATTTGCCCGAATAATGAATAACCAAGAAAAAAAAAAAAAAAAAAAAAACTAACGATTTTCTGCAAACTAAAGCAAAGCATTTAGACCGGGAAGGGAGAGTTTGTAACCCGACTCCTTCCACCTTCAGTGAGTTGGAGCTTGTGCGAGTTATTTCCACCCTTGTGTACTTCTTTTTAACGATTTTGTGTGTGCCTTTTGTCCGGGTTGCAACGTTGCGCTGAGTTTTGTAACCGCTGCCTGTGCGTGCATCCTGAGCTCATAGGAGGGCGGATGTGGAGAGGGCAGAGGAGGAATGATGACCTAGGAAGGTACCCTGAGCGGCTGCGCTGGGATCTCTGTTCTGCAGGCTTCTGTCCCCTTCCCCCTCTTATAAGGCTGACCCGGCCGGCTGAAGGCGGCAGGGCCCCTTTGCAGAACCTGCTTGGGAGGTCTTTGCTGGGCTTGCCCCGCCTCCTAGTTTGCACTCCCTCTCGCGGCCATAATTCTGCTCCCTAGCACTGCTGAAAGTCACTGCAGGTCCTTCCTGCTACGCCTTCTATGTTGTGTGCAGTGCTTACTCTCCAGTTCTTTTTCTTTTGTCACTTCAGGGCCTTTTTCCTTCTTTAACTCTCTTGCGTGTCATTTTTAAAGTAATTCTCCCTTTTCCCCCTGCTCCTTTGCTCCTGGGAGCAAAGTCAAGACTTTCCCTAGAGGTTGGGTCTCAGTCGGGAATGGAAGACTCTGTTCCAAATATTCCATCATGCCAGGAAGCCAGAACTTTTCTCCTTGGGGCAGTGGGAGTTGGGCCAAAGGCTGCTGGGCAGAGTGGGTGGTCCTTGTGCCCGGAATTGGCAAAAGCGGAGCACCCCAGGGACCCCTGGAATGAGACAGCAGAGCTGTGCAGTCTGAGATTCCTTAAGGCCCGGCCCCTTGGCAGCAGCCCAGGCCCTACCCGAGGCCTTCCACGTGGAGCCTGATGATCTCATTCAGGATTTGAATCCTCGCCTGTGAAAGAGTGACTCAGGGCCTCTGCCTGCCACCCTTGCTCCAAGATTTTACTACAATTGGGTAGGATGATGTGCATAACTGCTTTGTTCAGGCTGTAGGATTTTAAAGAGAACAGAAGAAATCCTGCTCTCTCTCTCTCTCTCTCTCTCTCACACACACACACACACACACACACACACAGAAAGAGCTTGACCAGGCAAAGGAGCACGTGGTCTTTTTATTTAAAGGAGAGGAGAGAACTTTTAAAATAACACTTTCACTGAAGAGATGCAAATATTTTTGTTATTGTTGTTCCGAGTATATTTTTGCTTCGTTTGCTTTAACGGGTTAGGCGTTCCTAATATATGCTATGAAGGTAACTATTCTTGCACAGCCTGACCTTAAGCAAACTTTCTTTTTCTCTTTACAGGAACTGGAAGCATAAGAAAGAAGCGATTTGTGTCCAGTCACCGCTATGTGGAAACCATGCTTGTGGCAGACCACTCAATGGCAGAATTTCACGGCAGTGGTCTGAAGCATTACCTTCTCACCTTGTTTTCGGTGGCAGCCAGGTTGTACAAACACCCCAGCATTCGTAATTCAGTTAGCCTGGTGGTAGTGAAGATCTTGGTCATCCACGAGGAACAGAAAGGGCCAGAAGTGACTTCCAATGCTGCCCTCACTCTGCGGAACTTCTGCAACTGGCAAAAGCAGCACAACCCACCCAGTGACCGGGACACAGAGCACTATGACACAGCAATTCTTTTCACCAGACAGGTAAGAGGAAGATGGTACCAGTTGTGACACTGTCCTCTTAGGAGTCTACATTGTACCAAACAGATATATACACAAGGCATTTCACTAATGTTTTTGCAGTTAACTTTGCTTAATTGGCTAGCATGGTTTATCTTATTTCTACTGTAATTTTAATATCTCAAGTTTCACAGTTCTATTTTAAAAGCATTAGGAACAAAGCTTGATTAAAGTCACATTAAGTCTTCTGATCTCAACAATAATGAGTGTAGATGCTCCAAAGCATATGTGAAGGCGCATCCGACCAAAAAAGTTAGATATCAAGGTTCATGCTCCCGTTGTTAATAAGGATTTGCCGCCTTTGCTTTTTGTAGGACTTGTGTGGGTCCCAGACTTGTGATACACTTGGGATGGCTGATGTTGGAACTGTGTGTGATCCGAGCAGAAGCTGCTCTGTCATAGAAGATGATGGTTTACAAGCTGCCTTCACCACAGCCCATGAGTTAGGTAAGTCTGATTCAAAGCAGGAGTTAAGCCCCATTCAGAAATGGGAACTGGTAAAACAGTATATTAATTTTAAAAGGAGAGTCTATAGGTAATATTACTATTTTAGGTCCTAGCGCATCTTAGAAACTATAGAAAATATTTTTCACCATTTCAAACATGGTCATTTTCATTAGAGTGAAAAATAAGATAGTAGTAGTTATGAACATTTGGAAATGTACATTTGTTTATACCCTGTGAAAAGCAGACATGGCCTCAAAAAATATATGGTCTCCTAAATATATTTCTGCCTCTAGAAATATCATTTTGGGACAAATGAAGCATCCCTGTTGGGAAAAAATAACCTGCTGCATATAATCTGTATTTTATTTTATTTATTATTTTTTGTTGAGATAGAGTCTTACTCTGTCTCCCAGGCTGGAGTGCAATGGCCTGATCTCGGCTTACTGCAACCTCCTTCTCCTGGGTTCAAGTGATTCTCCTACCACAGCCTTCCCAGTAGCTGGTATTACATGTGTGCACCACCACAGCCGGCTAATTTTTGTGTTTTGAACAGGGATGGGTTTCACCACGTTGGCCAGGCTGGTCTCAAACGCCTGACCTCAGATGATCCACTGGCCTCGACCTCTGGAATGACAGGTGCAGGCCACCACACCTGGCCATGATCTATATTTTAATGTGGGTTTTGGATTGCTTCCTAGGCCATGTGTTTAACATGCCACATGATGATGCAAAGCAATGTACCAGCCTTAACGGTGTGAACCGGGATTCCCACATGATGGCATCAATGCTTTCCAACTTGGACCATAGCCAGCCTTGGTCTCCTTGCAGTGCCTACATGATCACATCATTTCTGGATAATGGTCATGGTGAGATGTTCAAGCTATTCTCTCTAGATGGCGTCCAACCTTTCATGCATTAAGTCTAGTTAAATGAACTCTTCCCTTTTTGTTCTTTTTATTACCCCCCTTCAAAATTACTTTGCCTCTGTCCAGATCCTAACTGTCGAGATCTTAATTCCAACTAAAAAATAGTACTTCTGGTTGAGTACCTCCCAAAGTCCATTCATTCACACTGTTAGCAGATCAATAACTTCTGGTCATTGTTAATATGGAAATACCCCATTCAGGATAAGATTTTATAGTAATCTAAATCTCTTTAGCATTTTCTTCCCTTTAGCTTTACAGTTTTCAAATCACTTTGCTATATATTTTTTCATATGATAAATATTTTCTGAAATGGGATCTACCCTTGCATGCTCTCACTAACTCTGTATTAATATTGCTTGGCATTTCCTTTGCAGGGGAATGTTTGATGGACAAGCCCCAGAATCCCATACAGCTCCCGGCTGATCTCCCTGGCACCTCATATGATGCCAACCGGCAGTGCCAGTTTACATTTGGGGAGGACTCCAAACACTGCCCTGATGCAGCCAGCACATGCACCACTTTGTGGTGTACCGGCACCTCTGGCGGGGTGCTGGTGTGCCAAACCAAACACTTCCCCTGGGCAGATGGCACCAACTGTGGAGAAGGGAAATGGTGTATCGACGGCAAGTGTGTGAACAAAACCGACAGAAAGCATTTTGATGTGAGTTTTTCTACTGAATCACATTCAGAATTGAAAAGTACAAAGTGATGGTAAAAGATTTGATACCAAGTTAAACATCTCCATCTGTGTCCTCTAGCAGGAATAAAACAATAGCTTATTTTTAGAATTGATTCTAAAATTCAATCATTTTCTTTGATACCCTAAAAGTTCTCTTTAGAGAACTCTAATGCTGATGATTTGTGTCTCCATTTAGACTCCTTTTCATGGAAGCTGGGGGATGTGGGGGCCTTGGGGAGACTGTTCGAGAACGTGCGGCGGCGGAGTTCAGTACACAATGAGGGAATGTGACAACCCAGTCCCAAAGAACGGAGGGAAGTACTGTGAAGGCAAACGAGTGCGCTACAGATCCTGTAACATTGAGGACTGTCCAGACAATAATGGTGAGGAGCAGTGGACTCTGATTTTAAGAAATGGCATTAAAAAAAGATGTGTCCACAAACAGGTGGCTCAAGATTGGAAACCGATAGTGTTATCATATCATTCTCTTTCCAGGCAAAACCTTTAGAGAAGAGCAATGTGAGGCACACAATGAGTTTTCAAAAGCTTCCTTTGGGAGTGGGCCCACGGTGGAATGGATTCCCAAGTATGCTGGTGTCTCACCAAAGGACAGATGCAAGCTCATCTGCCAAGCCAAAGGCATTGGCTACTTCTTCGTTTTGCAGCCCAAGGTGGTTAGTCTTTACCTTATTTTTACCTAAAACCCCAGGCCTAGGCTTGCTACCTTTTCATGCAATTTTTGATATGCTTTCTTTGCTTTACATATTAACATATCTTCAGTTTCAAATTTGAACTTCTTTTTACATGCATCGACAAACACCTGCTTTGAGTTTAGTATTGTTGTCAGTTATGAATGAAGCTTAAATCTAACACTTTAGATGCTTGCAATCACTTACTATTACTCCTTTATATACAAAGAAAAGCTTTTTGGAAAATCAAGCGCTCCTCTGTGTGACTAGGCTTCACATACAGCTCATAGGTAGATACATTATTTGTTCACATAGTAACCTCACTAACAGCGGGGGGGCGGGGGAGGAGAAAGGAATACAAATAGGATCTTTGACCAGCACTGTTTATGGCTGCTATGGTTTCAGAGAATGTTTATACATTATTTCTACCAAGTGCACTGAAATCACTTCTTACTGGGTAACTGGCAGTAGCAGATGCAAAGAGAATAATTGAAATGGAAGTCTGAGTATTGATAATTTTTGTGTTTGAAAACACATATTGAACTAGGAAAAGCATCTTTTTTTTGCTGTTTTGATAAGGGGATACATCTGTATCTGAGATAGAAAATGGAATTTAATGTGATTGAGATGATCTTGTGTCATTAGCACTGTTGGCTATGAAAATATTCCCAAGTTGCAGATTCAGTACTATTCAGCAAGTGATTTACGAAGCACCTACTCTTGCCAAATGTTAATTATTCTAGGCTCTGAAGATACAGCAGTAAACAAAAAGACAAAGAGCTCTACTTTCTTTGACCTTAGCTGGAAGAGTGATAGGTCAAAAGACAAATAATTTTTAAAAAATCTCTAACTTCTTCAGACGTCTATATGTAGTATTGAAAAAGATACAGGCCGGCCAGGTGTGGTGGCTCACACCTGTAATCCTAGAACTTTGGGAGACTGAGGTGGGCAGATCATGAGGTCAGGAGTTCCAGACCAGCCTGGCCAATATGATGAAACCCCAACTCTACTAAAAATACAAAAACATTACCTGGGCCTGGTGGTGGGTGCCTGTAGTCCGTTACTTGGGAGGCTGAGGCAGGAGAATCATTTGAACCCGGGAGGCAGAGGTTGCAGTGAGCCCAGATCACGCCACTGCACTCCAGCCTGGGTGACAGAGCAAGACTCTGTCGGAAAAAAAAAAAAAAAAAAAAAAGAGAGCGCAAATGATGCCAAAGTGAAGGGTAAATGCATGAAATGCATAATGGTAGAGGGTACAGTTTTTAATTAGCATGGTCACGAAAGCAGAGAGAAAATGTTCATACTTACCATAGCACCATTGCCTTCCTTTGCTCGTATGTAACGCTAAACCTGTGTCCTTTTTTCAGGTTGTAGATGGTACTCCATGTAGCCCAGATTCTACCTCTGTCTGTGTGCAAGGACAGTGTGTAAAAGCTGGTTGTGATCGCATCATAGACTCCAAAAAGAAGTTTGATAAATGTGGCGTTTGTGGGGGAAATGGATCTACGTGTAAGAAAATATCAGGATCAGTTACTAGTGCAAAGTAAGTTTTAAAACACCTACTCACAGACCTTATAATTTAAATGGACCTTTCAACAGTTCTGGGAAAAAATATACCCTGTAAAACATTAACGTGTTTTTAAGCTAAATAACCCAGCGAGCCAATGAATCAGAGATTTATGCCTGTTTTTTGTCACCTGCAGACCTGGATATCATGATATCATCACAATTCCAACTGGAGCCACCAACATCGAAGTGAAGCAGCGGAACCAGAGGGGATCCAGGAACAATGGCAGCTTTCTTGCCATCAAAGCTGCTGATGGCACATATATTCTTAATGGTGATTATACTTTGTCCACCTTAGAGCAAGACATTATGTACAAAGGTGTTGTCTTGAGGTACAGCGGCTCCTCTGCGGCACTGGAAAGAATTCGCAGCTTTAGCCCACTCAAAGAGCCCTTGACCATCCAGGTTCTTACTGTGGGCAACACCCTTCGACCTAAAATCAAATACACCTATTTCATAAAGAAGAAGAAGGAATCTTTCAATGCTATCCCCACTTTTTCAGCATGGGTCATTGAAGAATGGGGCGAATGTTCTAAGTCGTGTGAATTGGGTTGGCAGACAAGACTGGTAGAATGCCGAGACATTAATGGACAGCCTGCTTCAGAGTGTGCAAAGGAAGTAAAGCCAGCCAGCACCAGACCTTGTGCAGACCATCCCTGCCCCCAGTGGCAGCTGGGGGAGTGGTCATCATGTTCTAAGACCTGTGGGAAGGGTTACAAAAAAAGAACCTTGAAGTGTCTGTCCCATGATGGGGGGGTGTTATCTCATGAGAGCTGTGATCCTTTAAAGAAACCTAAACATTTCATAGACTTTTGCACAATGGCAGAATGCAGTTAAGCAGTGTTAGTTTTGAGGGCAAGGCAAGGTGAGGAAGGACTGGTGCACTGAAATCAAGAAAGCTGGAGGGATCCAGTGTATCTTGCCGGTAACCAGGGAGGTGTTTCAGTAAGGTGGGATTATGGGAGATAGAAAAGGAGTTGAATCATCGGAGTAAACTGCCAATTGCAAATGTGATAGGATAGTTAGTGAGGATTATTAACCTCTGAGCAGTGATATAGCATAAGAAAGCCCCAGGGCATTATTATTATTATTTCTTTTGTTACATCTATTACAAGTTTCAAAAAACAGAAGCAATTGTCAAGAAAAGCTAGAACTATGACAACCCCTGTTTCCTGGTACTTATCAAATACTTTGTATCATAGGGGTTGAGAAATGAATAGCAGGAGAAAGATGAGATTTTACTGAGACCTGTTTTACTTTACCTCACTAACAATGGGGGGAGAAAGGAGTACAAATAGAATCTTTGACCAGCACTGTTTATGGCTGCTATGGTGGTTTCAGAGAATGTTTATACATTATTTCTCCCAAGAATTAAAATAAGTTCAGATTGTTCAGCATGAGAGAAGGGATCAGCAATGTGAAATGACTCAAGCGGCTTCCTCTTTCCATTTTTGTACCATCTCAGTCTTTATTTGTATAATTCACCTTGAGGACAAAACAATTCCATGTATTTATTAAAGTTCATTAAGTCTACAGTGGAAAAAAAGCGGTGAAGTATTAGGTGCTGGTAAAAAACTAGAAGAGACACAATGAGCTCAGTACCTCCAACTTTTTGTTTTCCTACCATGTACACCTGCTTAGGGAATATGGATGTAAAAAAGTAACTTGTGTCTCATGAAAATCAGTACAATCGCACAAGGAGGATGAAATGCTGGAACAAAAATGGGGTGTGTAGAACAGAATCCCACAGGTTTGGGGACATTGAGATCACTGTCTCATGGTGGGGAGGCTGCTGAGGGGTAGCAGGTCCATCTCCAGCAGCTGGTCCAACAGTCGTATCCTAGTGAATGTCTATTCAGCCCTTCTGTGAGAATACGATTTTTTCCATATGTACATAGTAAAATATCTTACTATAAATTATATGTACTTTATAAGTATTGGTTTGGGTGTTCCTTCCAAGAAGGACTATAGTTAGTAATAAATGCCTATAATAACATATTTATTTTTATACATTTATTTCTAATGAAAAAACTTTTAAATTATATCGCTTTTGTGAAAGTGCATATAAAATAGAGTATTTATACAATATATGTTACTAGAAATAAAAGAACACTTTTGGAATGTGTGTGTCTGTTTTTTGAAGTGGGAATTAATTCCTGGGAAGGAAACCTGAAAATACAAACATTGAATCTGAAGACTGGTTGTTTTCTTAAATTATTTGGCAATAAGATTTTGTTCTAGAGGTAGGTGGAGCAAGATGGCCAAATAGAAGATTTTGTTCTGGTGAAATACATTTCTTGTATCCTTGGAATACGTGATTACTAAAAAGAAAGAAATATGATATTGTTTGTTACTAAAGTTTCTAACAATATTTACCAGTGGTTGGCAAACTTTTTGTAAAAAGCCAAATGGTAAATATTCACAACTTTGTCAATCATGTCAATAACTATCCTGTCAACACCATCTCTGTCACAATTGCTCAACTATGCTGTTGTAGCAAAAAAGTAGCCATCAAGAATGAGTAAGTGAATGGACATGGCCGTGTTCTAATAAAACTACTTGCAAAAACAAATGATGGGTTAGATTTGTTCTGTAGATTCAGCCTGCCAACCCTGGTAAATACCATAAATTAAATGGAAAGGGCTTTAAGTTCTGGATGTTTTTGAATCTGTATCTCTTCCTCAGTTACATCCCATAAGTAAAAATATGTGAAGATATTTTGCTATTAACTAGAAAATAATGACTAATAAATTACATATAGGGTAGACATACGTGGTGAGTCAAACCCTCTAAATGCTTCACTTGCTCATCAGAAATACCTGAGGGGTTTTGGAGAAACCTTGGAAAACCCAGGACTTTCTGGGTAGTCCTTTTGTAAATGACTGTATTTTAAATACTAAGTGGTACATCAATAACTTTAAAAGTTCAGATTCCTTCCAAAGTAACTATACTTCTCCCAGGAAATAGTATTTACTAGAAGACTCAGATTATGTGGTTAACCACAGACATTTCGAACTTTACATTTTTCTCCTTTTCCTTGAAAGGAGCAGTTTGATAAAGATATGTCCAAGACTGGGAAGAAAAAGAGGTTTGATGGACTCACAGTTCCACATGGTTGGGGAGGAAGGCACAATTATGGTGGAAGGCAAGATGGAGCAAGTCATGTCTTACGCAGATGGCGGCAGGCAAAGAGAGAGAGCATGTGCAGGGGAACTCCTCTTTATAAAGCTATCAGATCTCATGAGACTTATTCACTATCACAAGAACAGCACAGAAAAGACCCACCACCATGATTCAGTTACTTCCCACTGGATCCCACAACACATGGGAATTATGGGAGCTACAATTCAGGATGAGATTTGGGTGGGGACACAGCCAAACCATATCATAGGTATTATAATATAGCATCCTAGTTTTTATGTATAGATGATAATTTCTAACTTCATCTCAGTTATTCAAAGTGTTCCTCCCCCGAGCAATTGAATATGTCATTCTCAGCAGTCAGGTGTACAGGTGCAGATGATCAAATCAATTCCTGGATAACTTGTTTTCCTACCTAGTAGACGAAAGGACTGAAAGTTAAAGTCATCGTCTCACATTGTGGAAACTAGTCTTGGTTCTACAGAACTCATTTAAACATGGAATACGACCATTCAATTCAGTGGTCTACCTTGCCACTTGCAACAACAACCTCTCACAATAATTTATTTGTCTACATTGGTGCAGTACAAATCGCACAGTAAGTGACATGGAGGATACACACAAGAAATGCTGTGATCATCATTAACTATACATGCCATTTGAGAAAATGAGATACAGAAATCTAAAATGATAGCTCATAGTATTAAAAAGTCACTTTTGGATCTTGCCTGATTCACCAGAATTCTTTTCTTTTTAAGGGCTTATATTGACTTGATGTAAGTAACAACGCTAAACTTCAGGACCTTAAGAGATAAAATCAGCCAAAAAATGTCCTATCATCCTCTCAGACCAAGGCAAAGTCAGCCAACTTCCTGGTGTTGCCACATTATTTTCAGCCCTCTGCTGGTGAAAAATTTTTTTTCAGCAGTAGGCTGAGTAGTTTTAGATACTTTGTTTTGTCAGCAAATTGAGATTAGTTCAAAACACACATCCTGGTTCTATAAGCTTGACTAACCAACTCCTTGAAAGAAGGAGTTTTTGTGCTCTCTCCTGTAAATGATGAGCTGTGCCTCTGCTGAAACTTTCCACAGTAGAAAGATCAGAGACTCAAGATCTGCAGTCTGGTTTCCTTTGTCTGATGATATGTTCCTTTAATATGATGTACTCCCCCACTTCTAAGAGTACCATTCCCGAGGGCCAGACTACTGTGAATCTTGCTGCTCCTCTGGGTCTAGCCCTGCAGTGAGGTTTCCATACTCCATGCTGGTGCTGGTGAATGTCTGCAAAGTATACTGTGATATGATCTGTCTGGTCCTCCAGCAGTGGATATCAGTACCAGCTCAGTTGTGGGTGGGAAGGGAGAGATGTAGACCCTGTAAGATTTCCGTGATGATAAATAGCCCCTTAGTGTGGTGGCCTTCTCAAATACAGATGTGGCAGTCATATACTGGGTGCATGGACAGACTCAATACCTAAATTTATCTATGTAGCTATAGAAGTGATAAAAGAGGTTAAAATCTACAGCTCAAGACAATGAGATTGCAGATGAATGTGATGTAAAAGGAAAAGAAAAAAACATCAGGGATGACTCTAAAAATGTCTACAGGTATTGTTCTTCTGGGTTTTATTTGTTTGTTTTTGTTTGGGTGGGAATATATACAGTATATCTCTAACTATCTTTTTATATAGATCTATCTATATCTCTCTACCTACCTATCTATCTATCCTTAATCACACGATTAAGGAGGCTGAGAAATTATAAGATCTGTAGTCGGCGAGCTGGAGGCCCAGAAGATTAGGCCAATCGAACATCCATATTTGATGGATGGCGTCTGTGAAAGGTATTCACAAGAAGCAATCTCTCAAAAAAAAAAAAAAAAAAAAAGAAGAAGAAGAAGAGCTGACAGTATCGTTCTGTCTAAGTCTGATGCCAGAAGAATACTCATGTCCCAGCTCAAAGGCAGTTGGGCAGAAAGGGAAAATTCTCCCTTACTCAGGTTTTGTGTTCTATTCAGATCCTGAACAAATCAAATGAGACCCATCCATATTAGGGAAGCCAACCTGCTTTACTCAGTCTACCAATTCAAAAGTCATTCTCATGCAAATACACCCTGACGAACACCCCGAAAAATGTTTAACTAAATATCTAGGCACCCCAGGGCCCAGTCAGGTTGATACAGAAAGTCCACCATCACAGAAGTCTTAAAAAGTATTAGTAAATACAAGGATATATTTGTCTGATCCCTGGAAGGGAGCGTATATGTGAACACAGAAATAATGAATGTGATTACACAGCCAAGCCACAAACACATATATAGACACAATGCACACATACATAAACACAACACACACACACACAGACAAATTGAATGATTTGATTGTCTTAAAAGCTCTATACTTCCATGTTCCAAGAGAATTCTTTTAAAAATATGAAAAAATATTTCCATTAAATACAAACAGTATAGGGTTGTAATCTGTCATATAGAAAAAACCTCATACGACTAGATAAAAATAATTACTCAAGACATTGTCAAAGGACCTAAACAGATAATTGAAAAAAATATCTACATGTACATAAAGTTAAGAAAAAACTCTCTGACTACTGGAAATCAGAGTGTATGATTTTAAGAAAACTAAAATTCAGGTACCAAATAGACGAAGCTTAAAAATAATGTTAGTAAAAAGTACAATAATATTAAAAATTGGTGATGATAGTGTGAAAGCCCCCTCAAATCCTGCCAGTGTAGACGTAAATCACAACACTCATTCTTAAAGTCGTAATTATGACTTTCCACCTCAAAATTCACATATTTAAAGTTAAATTCAACCTGTATTACCAGCTTAACAGATCTGCTTCCTCCACACTTCTGCTTCTTAGTATGCTGAAGAAGTAGGGAGCTAGGGGTTACTTCTCCCCACTCCTATTCTACACCTGGCCCATAGGCAGGTTCTGCTACAGCATCAAAGACTTTTCACTATCTCCATGCCTCTGCCTCCCCATCACCACCACCCTAATCCCAGCTCCCATCTCCCCCACCACTAGGCTTGCATCTGCCTCTTAAGGGGAAGGCTGCATTCCTTTATAGTAATCTCTCCAATGCATACATGCGGAGTGTCCTTTATTTTTTATAACATAAATGAATGCCATTTTTAAAAAATTATAAATGTTTTATTTTTTTTACATGGATGCAGTTTTATTACATGGATATATTGCATAGTGACAAATGCTGGGCTTTTAGTGTAACCATCACCCTAATAATGGACGTCATTCTTTTGTTCAAACCCTTCTCTGACTATGTGGAGGACAAAGCCAAAATCTGCAGACAGATGACAGGGCTTCTAGGATCTGGCCCAACTGTTTCTCTTCCTGCAGAATCTCTCTTCCTCCCCTCTGATTTCTCTTGAGGTTTCTCCCAAACTTGTTTCAGGACTTTCTTGCTGGCCACTGATTTCACCTCCTGCTTCCAAATGGCCAGTTAACCCCTAATTATTCTTTAGATCGGAAAGCCAATGTCACTTTATCTTAAATCCCCACCTGGTTAGATTGCACTCTCAAAGTACCCTGCACATTCACCCTTGTCACTTTTCATAGAAATCATATCCTCTTCTAGCTCTGGGTCTGTTTCTCTCACCATTCCCCAAACTCCTAAAACTATGCCTGTGAGATATTATTTTTATTTAATAAATAACCCTCCAAAAACTCAAATTATTGGATACAGACATTTCTACTCCTAGGAAATCTGTGCTTTCACAAAGATACATATTGAATGTTACATAACTCTGAATGTAGCCAGCAAAGAGGTATACTGTATTTATTGACGTAAGAAAAGTTGAATCTCAGATAGTAATAATGATAATCAACATTCCTTTTTCTTTCCTTTTTTTTTTTTTTCCTGAGATGGAATCTTACTGTGTCACCCAGGCTGGAGTGCAGTGACGCAGTTTTGGCTCTGCCTCCGGGTTTCAGAGATTCTCCTGGGAGTAGCTGCAATTATAGGCATGTACCATCATGCCTGGCTCATTTTCTATTTTTAGTAGAGATGGGGTTTTACCATGTTGGCCAGTGTGGTCTCAAACTCCTGACCTCAAGTGATCCGCCAGCCTCGGCCTCCAAAAGTGCTAGGATTACAGGCGTGAGCCACCATGTCCAGCTGATAATCAACATTCTTTAAAGTTTACAATATGTTTTATATAAATTAACTCAGACCCCAAAAAGCTATATTATTATAATTTCTAATAAATAAAGAAACAGGGGCAAAAGGAGGTTAACTGTTTGGTCTAGGTAGGGCAGTTAGCAAGAGGTAGAGCAAGGTTTCAAACTCAGGCGCCACTGTGGTTTGGATATGGCTTGTTTGTCCACACCAAATGTCATGTTAAAATTTAATCCCCAGTGTGGTTGTGGTGAGAGGTAGGGCTTACTGGGAGGTGTTT